CTTCCCCCCCCCCCCCCAAAAGGAAATTTCAGTCCCATGAGTTCAAGGTCAGCCTGGGCAATTTAACATGACCCGTCACAAAAAGTAAAATGAGGAAATCAAGTGTGGTGATTCATGCCTCTAATTCCAGCATTCAGAGATGGAGGCAGGGGATCAGAAGTTCAAGGTCATCTTCAGTTACATAGTGAATCTGAAGCCAGTCTGGGCTATGAATGAGACAGCCTATGCTGTCCAGAAGTGAGACACCAAGCCCAAGACACATGCCTTCCAGCCGCCAGGTGTCAGCCTTGCATGCCTACCTCAAGGTCAGGGGGCTCTGGCTCCCCCAGGCCACCGCTCACAGAAGGAAGAGGTGGTAGAAGGAACTGCCAGCCCTTCAGGGACTCTGCAAAGGCTGTCTCTGGGAAAGGGGGTCCCAGATCAGGTCTGTCCAGCTTCGAGGCAGGGAGGTCACAGGCTGTGCTCTGCAACAGGGGCTGCTGGAGCTCCTGCAGGCTAGGGTTGTCCATGTCAGGACAGACTGGCAGGGCGTTCCTGGAGACGGCAGGAAACAAATTCAAGCTCTAAAGGAGCCTTGCATTCTTCCATCACCCCCTGCACACCCCTCAGATCCATTTTACAGATAGGAAAACAGGCCCAGAGAATAAAAGTGGTTGACCTAACTTACATAGACAATTCAATTCTGAGATTCTCTTAGGCACAAATTACATACCTGTTGCGTACTTACAGTTAACTGTGACTTGCACACTTGCTTGTCATGAGTCCCCTATGCACACATACACCCTCAGCCAGGCTCACATGCCCTAGCAACGAATTCAGGCCCTGTACATCCCCCCCTCCTATAATACACAAACCCATCCGCCACCCACAGTGACCCTGTATCTTCACCCTAGTCCACAGACAGTACAGCGGCCACTCCCATTTACCAAGGCCCTTGTCACCTACCTGGGCCACAGAAGCCCACCCCCACCCCCACACAGTCATCTGCCAAAGGACTCCATGCACACTCGCTGCAAACATCGGCTCCCCCAAAACATGCCCGAGGTGGAGTCACCTCGTATCCAGGAGCCACCTTGCACAATCCTCATCTTCGCAGCTCCTGAAAACACACGCATTCCGCACACCCTCCATGCACAGACTGCCATCCATCACCCCCACGCTTCCCGGCTCGCATCGCTTCCTTTACACAACCTACCCTGCTGGGCCCGGGTCCTGCACCTCGCCCATCTCCCCACTGACCTGCACCAGCCCTTTGCCTCAAGACGCCCCAAAGCCCATCACACGTAGCTCACACTCAACCAGAAAGATCCTTCTCGGTCTAAGATCGCAAGCCTTAAGCTCACTCCAAACCTCAGTGGAGCCCAGGTCCTCGCCAAAGGTTCGCCCCTATCCCCCGCATGCCCCCAAGGCCCGGACCGGGGGGAGGAGCAATGTCCCCACCTCCTCCCCTCACTGCCCACGCGCTCCACTTCCTGGGCCTCGCAGTACACCCGCCCCGCCCTGCTGCTCCGAGCTGGGCAAACCTGAACCTAGCGATCAGGTCTCCCGGACACCCACGCGGGGTCTGAGAGCTGCGCAGCGCTCGGGTCTCCGCGTCCCGGACCCGCAGCGCGCAGAGGAGAGGAGGGGCGGGCCACAGCTCCAGACTCCGCCCCCCTACCGAGCCCGGGGAGGGGGCCTTGAAGGCCAAAGTCAGCGTCCTTCAAGACGGATGCCAGAGACTGCAGCTTCTCCTCCCTGAGCCCAGATTCAAACCTGCTGGTCAAAAGATGTGGCGCCCCGCAGTAATCCAGGTTGTTCCTGGCTTGACCCCCTCCACCACCTTCACCCAAACCGCATGGGCCAATAATAGCCAATAATAATAACAGCCACTGTAGCTATGTGTCCTTTGTGTCCTAGTCTAAGTGCTTTAAACATACGATTCCACATTTATTCCTCAGAACAACTGTAATAGGCACTACCATGTATCGCCTCGTTTTTAACACATGCAGGAAAGAGGCACAGAGAGGTGAGGCAACTGACCTGAGGGCACACAGCTAGTTCAAAGATGTTATCCCAGGCTGTGTTCAGTGCTTTCCATTCTCTGGGGCGTTCACGTCTCTCAGCAACTCTGTTTTCATCCCTGCTTTGCAGGTGAAGAAACTGGGGCTGAGAGGGGCGGGCTCACTTGCCAAGGTAAACAATGGGTACCCTGGGCAGCAGACTAACCACAGCTGCATTTCTTGCTGACCCCCAGGGGAAAGAGAGAAGCTGGGGGTCTACATACACCCAAGTCCTGGGCAGGCTTTTCAAGGCACTTGCTGTGTGATCTTTGGACTGTTGCTTCACCTCTCTGAACCCCAATTTGTCTGAAAACTCAGGAAATACTCCCAGCCTCTTAGATGTGATGAAATTTTATTTTATCTATCTATCTATCTATCTATCTATCTATCATCTATCTATCTATCATCTTTCATCTATCTAATCTATTTATTTAATTTGTCTTTTTGAGACACAGTCTCCTTGTAGCCCCAGCTGGTCTGGAACTCACTATATAGACCAGGCTGGCCTCAATTTCACAGAGATCCACCTGCCTCTGCCTCCCAAGTGTTGGGGTTAAAGTCGTGCGCCAACACGCCTGGCTGTATTTTAAAATTGTATCTCTTTGCTGTCACATTTATAATTTGCCGGTGCAAGCCTGCGTAGAGGTCAAAGGACAAACTACAGGCATTGGTGCTCTTCTCTACCACGTGGGTTCCAGGGAGCAGACTCGGCATCAGGCTTGGTAGCAAGTTCCTTTACCTGCTGAACCATCCTGCCAACCCAAAGTATGTATTTAGATTAGGTGCAATAACACATCCAATATTTACCCAAAGCCTGGTAAACACTTTGAACATGTGCAATGTTTGTATCAATGTTATTAGTCATAATCCACGTCCATTCATCTGACCAGAGACACTCCTGGCCCTCCAAGCCGCCTCCTCCTTCAGGAAGCCCACCAGCTTGCACTGCCTCCCTTCCATCTGGCCAGATAGGAGGATTCCCCAGCATAATGTTGGGCCAACCAGAGTTCCCTTGCTCCAGGGCACCAGGGCACGGTGCCAAGAGTCCAGACGCTCGAGCTGGCACAGGCCCCACTTCCAAGAAGAGCAGATGGCATCTGGGAGTGTGCTTGGCTCAGCTGGTGTTTCTAGCAACTGACAGACAGGGAGACCCATGGGAGGGGCGATGCCAGGGGCAGGGGGCTGGATGGTTTTCCCAGAGGATAATCCATCATTTTCTAGCTTCTTGACCTTGCTCTAGTTGTCATTTTCATATTGCAATGTAAGAAAGTACATGTCTTGGGTTGATGCAGTGCTTCCAATTGCTCCCATCAGCCTCAGCTCCATTAGGCCTGGGATTTATTCTCTTATCACTGGGGCCTAAAACAGTGCCTGGCTCAAAGAGGCCTTCTTTTTACATATTTGTGGGATGAGGGCATGAATTCTCACCAGCCTCAATTTTCCATCAAATTGCTGAGTTAAGTGAACCTCCATCCACCTCTGTCCATACCAGAGATGAATTTCCATCCAGCTAGATCCATGGCTACCTGTAGAGTCCCTTCCAGGCCAGGAGAGGCTAAGGGTCTTAGAGTTTGTGACAGGCATAGAATGTGGTTGGCTTTTTGCTTGTTTTCTTTTTCATTGTTTAGATTTACTTTTTTGAGGGGTGTGGGATTGAATGATTTTGTGTGTGTATGTGTGTGTGTGTGTGCGCGCGCGCGCACGCACACCTCTGTGTTACTAGAGGATCAAGGGATTCCTGCATGCTAGGCAAGTGCTCTAGCCACATCCCAGCCCCTCACTGATGAATTCTAAGAGGTGCTTTACCAGTGAGCCAAGGCCCCTCCAGCCCCTCAAGGTAGATTGGAGGCAAATGTTCTACCAATGAACTATGCCCTGAGCCTTTCACTGGTAGATTCTAGGCAAGTCCCAATGAGCCATGCCCCAGTCCCTCACTGGTTGATTCTATGTCCCCTAACATGATGCTCAGAGGATGCAGTGTTACTTCTGTGGTTTTCCTGCTTAACATGCATCACTCAGACACAATTATAAAAATCTTGAGACAGGCTGGGCATGGTGGCACATGCCTTTAATCCCAAAACTCAGGAGGCAGAGACAGGCAGATCTCTGTGAGTTTGAGGCCAGCCTGGTCTATATAGTGAGTTCCAGGCCAGCTGGGGCTACAGGAAGACCCCGTCTCAAAAAAAAAAAAAAAAAAAAAAAAAATCTTGAGTCAGAGAATGTAGTTCAGTTGATAGAATCCACCAGTTAGGGGTTGGCACTGGCAAAGAGGTTAGGAATTTAAGGTTTAGAGACAGAATCAGACAGACTGGTGATCAATTTGTCAATTTGGCTAAATGTCTATGATTTTACTCTAATTTTTGCACCTTAAATAAATACCTAATAATATTACTCTCTTCATAAGATGTCTGAAGAGTCAAGGGGATAATGCATTTAAAAATGGCTAGTTAAAAGAAAAAAAGAGGCCGGGTATGGTGGCGCACACCTTTAATCCCAGCACTTGGGAGGTGGAGGCAGGAGGATCTTTGTGAGTTCGAGGCCAGCCTGGTCTACATGGTGAGTTCCAGGACAGCTGGGGCTACAGGGAGACCCTGTCTCAAAAAAGACAAAAAAAAAAAAAAAAAAAAAAAAAGAAAAAAGGAAGCAGGGCATGGTGGCGCACGCCTGTAGTCCCAGCAGTTGGGAGATAGAGGCAGGCAGATCTCTGTGAGTTCTTGAAGACCCAGGTTCAAATCCCAGCATTCAAATGGCCACTAACAACTGTGTACTCCGCAGGCATTGCACAACACGGGTGCACTTACCTACATGCAGGCAATGCACATATACATATAAAATTAAAAAAAAATTTTTTTAATTTAAGGTTGTCGCCGGGGGTGGTGGTGCACGCCTTTAATCCTAGCACTTGGGAGGCAAAGGCAGGCAGATCTTTGTGAGTTCAAGGCCAGCCTGGTCTACATACTGAGTTCCAGGACAGCTGGGGCTACAGGGAGACCCTGTCTCAAAAAGACCAAAAAAAAAAAAAATTAAAGTCTACTGGTAAAATTTTTTAATATTTATTTTTATTTTATGTGTTGTATTTTATGTGTCTTTTACCTGCATGTATGTATGTACACCATATGTATGCCTGGTACCAGTGAAGGCGAGGAAAGGGCACCAGATCTCCTGGAAGTGGAGTTACAGGCAGTTGTGAGCTGTGGGATGTGGGTACTAGAAACCAAACCCAGGTCCTCTGAAATAGCAGCAGGTGACCTCTACTGCAGAGTCATCTCTCTAGCTCTGTGAAGAACAAAGTTTTTGAAGAAAAAAAGGGAGGGGCTTTCTCTGAGGTGCCTCTTTTCAATTTCTTCCTCATTTAAATTTTTTAAATGTTTTACGTGGGGGCTGGAGAGATGGCTCAGCGGATAAAACTGCTCTTGAAGAAGACCCGTGTTCGAATCTCAGCACCCACATGGCAGCTAACAACTGTCCGTAACTCCAGTTCCAGGGGATGTGACAGCCTCTTCTGTCCCCTGCAGGTATTGCATGACACGGGTGCACTTACCTACATGCAGGCAATAGATGCATACACACACAAAAAAATTTTTTAAGTTTTATGTGTATGCCATATGTGTGCATGTTCCCACAGAAGCCAAAAGAGGGTATCTGATGCCCTGTAGCTGGAGTGACAGCCACCCGACCCTGGGTGCTGGGAACCGAACTATGTTCCTCCGGAAGAGCGGCAAATGCTCTTAAGTACTGAGCCATCTCTTCAGCCCCATCATCTTCCTCATTTCTTATCCTCAACCCACCCCCATAATTCAGAATCAGCACTAAGAGTAAACTTGGTAGCTCTGAGGAGGAAGTTGGACTTGGTCCTTGAGAATTCTGGGGGAACTCTGAAAGGTAAAAGGAAACCGACTCTCCAACTGTCCCAGGGTCAGGATAAGGTCCTGGTTTCTTGTTTGTTTTTACACCCAGTTATAAGGCAGAGGCGCACAATGGCCTGCGGGGCTCCCTCTGGATGCCGGCTCCATCCTCTGTCACGCAGTCCCGAACAGGAAAGGATGTTTTGTTCTGTTTTTATGAAAGGAGGCACGCAGCATCGATAGATTTGCTTACTGAGTGAAGAAAGTACGGAGAGAAACAGTTGCCGCTCGAACTTCTTTAGTCAATCAAGATGGAGCGGTCCAGCCATACCCCCACCCACAGGCGGAACTCAGGGCTGGAGCTAGAAAGACACAGTTTTCCCAAAATGGACAGAGAAAGAAAGCGTCCATCACAACTGCGCCCCGCCTCCGGAGGGCAACGAGCACCAATCAGCAGCGCGCAGGGCGGGCGCAAGGCCAGGGGCGGAGCTTGTGTTGCCCCAGCAACCACCGGGGAACCCCCAAGGCTAGCGCGGCTGCGGCGATATCACGCCCTGACTCTGGCTCCGCCAGGAAGGTCCTGGGTAGGGTGCGCGCCTAGCTTCGAGGACGCCCGCGGACAAGGGGACAGCTCAGGCCCATGGTCCACCATCCCCGCAGCCGCCTTCGTTTCTAACCGCTAAGTACGCAGAGGTAGGAATAACGCATGCGCGGCGCCTAGGGGCGGGGTTAAAGCAGCGCTGCATACAAGACGCATGCGGCTTTTGGAGCTTGGCTGCTCTCCTGCGAAGGGGGTGGGACCTTACGCTTGAGGGCGGGGCCATAAACTCCTGGGGCGGAGCTTTTAAAGGGACTGAACCTTAGGAAGTTTATAATAGGCAGTGCAGAATTAGGCACAGCCCACTCCCCACCCTGGACCTCAGAGTGCCTTCCCCATTTTTCTTGGGCTTTTCTGGGAAGGTGGCTTGTGTCTGTGGTTAAGACCGCATTGTTGGGGCTGGAGGGATGATTCAGTGGTCAAGAGCACTGACTGCTCCTGCAGAGGACCCAGGTTCTATTCCCAGTACCCACATGACGGATAAAAACCGTCCTTAACTCCAGTTCCAGGGTATCCAAGGCCTTCTTCTTACCTCCACGGGCATTGCATGACATGTGTGCACTTTACACACATGCAGGCAATGCACTCATACTCACAAAATAAGAATGATAATTAAAAAAAAAAGACTACATTGTCACTGGGTTGATGAAATTAGCTTGGAATCCTAGTACTGCTCTTTACTTCATGAGCCTCAGTTTCCCCATCTGTGGGAATGATAATACACTTACCTCACAGGGTTGTGATGGAATTTTTTCCCTCCTAGAGCCATGGCTGAAGTGCACGTGATTGGACAGATCATAGGGGCCACCGGTTTCTCTGAAAGTAGCCTCTTCTGCAAGTGGGGTATCCACACAGGTATTCCTCTCCCCCCATCACCCCAGGCCTAGTTTATGTCCCAACCCATAACCACTTCCCATAACCCAAGGCTCCATATTCTTTCCTTGACTCTCTGATGGCCCCTGACTCAGACCACACTGTCCCCTTTCTGTCCTTTGTCTGGGGTAGTCCACTCTCTGAACACAGCACACAGCCCCTAAGGATATGGGACTGTAAGATAGATCACACAGACACACAGACAGACAGACAGACACACACACACACACAGTAGCAGTCCTCAAAGCTGGATGTGGTAGTAAACATCTGTCATTCTAGCACTGAAGAGGCTAAGGTAGAGGATTGCAGGTTGGAGGCCAAGCCTGGGTTACATGCAAGAGACCCTGCCTCAAGCAAAAGAAAAGAGCGTAAAATAATTATATTATCATGTGTTAGGAAGAAAATAAATGGGGTGATTAATAGAGCCTGGCTTGGGATAGTAGGGTCAAAGGCAGAGGAGGACTTTCTGTGGAAGTGGCACCTGAGTTGAGCCCCAGGATAAAAATGGTCAGGAATAGGGACGTCCAAAAAAGGCCTTCTAGGCAGTCAGTGCAAAGGCCCTGAAGTGAGGAGATGGAGTGGAACCAGTGAAGCCAGAGAACGGTGAGGGAAAGAGTCATGACATGAATCAGGGAGGAGCAGGGCCACACAAGGGGCTTCAGGGTTATGGTGGGGGGTCTGAAAACTGGGGTGAGGTAGGTAAGATTAAGAGTTTCAGAGAGCCAGGCATGGTGGCACATGCCTTTATGCCCAGCACTCAGAAGGCAGAGGCAGGTGAATATCTGTGAGTTCAAGGCCAGCTTGATCTACGTAGGGATTTTTAGGCCAGTCACAGTGACATAGTGAGAACCTGTCTCAAAAAAAAAAATTGCGGGGGGGGGGCACTGGCGAGATGAAGAGATGGCTCACTGGTTAACTTGTCGCTCTTCCAAAGAACCCAGGTTCAGTCCCCAGCACCCACATCACACAGTTCACAAATGCCTATAACTATTTTAGATGATCTGATTCCCTCTTCTGGCCTCCACAGGCACTGCAGGCACAAGGCGCACATACAAACAGGCATACACAAGAGGCTGGAGAGATGGCTCAGTGGTTAAGAACACTGGCTGTTCTTGTAGAAGACCTGGGTTCAAATCCAAGCACCCACATGGCAGCTAACAACTGTCTGTAACTCCAATTTCAGGGGCTCCAATGGCCTTTTCTGTCCTCTTCTTGCATTGCATGACATGGGTATACTTACATACATGCAGGCCTAATACTCATAAATAAACATAAACATTTTTTTTTTGCCTTTTTGAGACAGGGTCTCCCTGTAGCTCCAGCTGTTCTGGAACTCACTATGTAGACCAGCCTGGCCTTGAACTCACAGAGATCCACCTGCCTCTGCCTCCCAAGTACTGGGATTAAAGGCATATGCCACCATGCCTGGCCCAAACATAAACATTTAAAAAATAATATATATATATATCAGACACACACATAAATTTTAAAATAAGAGTCCCCGAGAGCAGATTCAGTGAGTTTGTTGTCTGGTATAGCATCTGGCATCTAGCACTCAGTACATGCTCCCCACTCTTGTTACCCCTCACTTAGGGTCCCTGTATGTTTCTTGATGTGCTCCTGGAGTGTACTTTGGTCTCTTTTTAGTCTTTGGGCTTGGCCTCCAAATGTGGGGTAAGAATAATAATAAGCGCCAGGTGTGATGGTGCATGCCTTTAATCCCAGCACTTGGCAGGCAGATCTCTGTGAGTTCAAGGCCAGTCTGGTCTACATAGTGAGTTCCAGGACAGCTGGGGCTACAGGGAGACCCTGTCTCAAAAAGACCGGAAAAAAAAAAGAATAATAATAAGCTTGGTGTGGTGGTTGGTGCATGCCTTTGACCCAACACTTGGGAGACAGAACCTTCTCTGTGAGATTGAGGCCAGTGTGGTCTACATAGTGAGTTCCAGTTCCAGGCCAGCTGTGGCTACGTGGAGACCCTGTCCAAAAAAAAATTATATATATATATATATATATATATATATATGGAATCTCAGCA